ATATGGTCCAATATGAGCCCATTACAAATGGACCAAGTCCAATCCAATCTGATGAATACTTTGGACCAATTTGGACTGGTCAAATTCAATGTCTGGACCGTCCAATATGTTCAAATTGGTTTTACTTTAGGCCATGTTTGGGAGTGCTTAAAATTAAGTGCTTATTTGAAATAAGTGCTTATTTGGGCTGGGACCACACCATTAAGTACTTATTGGTGTTTGGAAAATAAGCCTGAAATAAGTGCTTATTTTTTAAGCCCAAATTTCCAACTTTTTTTAAGTGCTCATACAATAAGTACTTATTCAAATTTTTTCTCTCAGAATTGTCCTTAATAAATTTTTAGAATACCAATTATACCCTTTCAATATTGTTACTTTTAGCAACACTGTTATTTTTACAAAAACACTTCTATAAAATTTCTTTTATGAAAGTATTTTTATGAAAACACTTTTATAAAAGTACTTTTACATGAAAGCACTTATACGAAAGTACTTTTGTAAGAGCACTTTTATGAAAGTACTTTTGTAAGAGCACTTTTATAAAAGTACTTTTGTAAGAACACTTTTATAAAAGCACTTTTATGAAAGCACTTTTATCAAAGTACTTTTATGAAAGAACTTTTATAAATGAAAACACTTATAAAAGTACTTTTATGAAAGCACTTTTGTGGAAGCACTTTTACAAAAGTAATTCTATCAAAGTACTTTTGTTCATTCTCTTTGGATTGGATATTTTGAAAATTTGAAAGAAAATGAAGGATAAAAGAGTCATAAGTGCTTATTTAAGTACTTGTTGGAGAAAAAGGCCATCAAACATCCAATATAATATAAGCACTTGAAAAAGCTGGGTGCCAAATGTATTATTTTTAAGCACTTATTTTTAACATAAGCACTCCCAAACATGGCCTTAGATTGGTTCCAACCCAAACTTTGTTCATTGGCACCTGTATTCCTATCTTCTATCAATGGACCAAATATTAGCCCAATCCAATATAAATCCATTACAGATGAACCAGGTCCAATTCAATCCAATAAATACTTTGGACCATTAAGTCTGGACTGGTCCTATTCAATACGTCTTATTGGTCTGTCCAATCCATCCAAATTGATTTTGATTTGGACTGATCCAACCCAAAACTGGTCCATTTAACATCCCTACCTCGTAGGCTCCTGTTCCCCTTGCCTTGCAGAGTTCATGCAATGGTTTCTTTTGAACAGTCGTTTCCTTACAAAGAATCCAACAGCACTTTTTGCTTATTGTTTTTTTTTTTTTTATCAAATTGCTTATTGAATTTAGTAGGCCTCCTTTTCGTCAAGCTTCTACATTGAAAAGGGGCAAAATAATCAGATTCATCTTGCTTTCAGCCTATGCCCCACCAATTGACGTAGTGGGATGCGCAAAGATGAAATTAAGCCTTGAATCCACAAAGAGAAGAGAAGAAGCTCAAAGAGTATTGTAGTCAATTCACTGAACAGACAATACAAAATTACTAAAAATAATAAGTCCTAATTGGACTCAGAGTCTTTATTTCTGAACAGAAAATACAAAATCTCTACGTTCAATTTGGAAAGAGTACAAATACAAATATGTTCAGTGCCAATACATACAAAATAATACAAATTACAGGGTTTTGCACTCTACATATTTGTATTTATACTCCTTCCAAGCTGAGCCTTAAGAACATCAGTATTTTAATAAAAGAAAACTTATTAATCAACTCCGGACTCAAAACAAGCTAAAATATCAAAGATATAATACGTATTATAAGAGGAAAGTTTTTAGAGAAAAAAAAAACCCTCTTTTGGAGGCCAGAATGATGGAATTTGAGCCTGAAATCTGCAAATGAATCCCTTAAAATATTATATTATGACTTAATGCTTGTCAAGATGATCAGTTTGACATATTATACGCCAAAAATGGATGCTTGAATCAAAAGTTATGGCTGTTTAAAGTTTTAGTACCTTTTTTTGGCCTCTTTTCTATTTATTGATCGTGGTCGTGGGCCTCTGAAAATCTTTCAGAAACCTGTTCTTACATCCGTTGGTGTCTGATAAATGTTTAGTAACGTTTACAATTTTCTCTTGCTGGGCATACAGTTTGTCGAGGGTCCAACTCTGGCAACAGGTTGGGCTAGATTTAAGGCTAAGGCCCAACGTTAAGACATTGATCTCGAACCTTGGCCTAGTCCAATCTAAGGTCAAAGTCATAGTTTGCCAATACAAACTGCACCCAAGGTCAATCTTAACACAATTCAAGTTAGGGTTGGGCTTGGTAGGCTCAGGTGGGCTTTCTTGGTCTTAGATGGGTTTCTCAGATTTGAAATTCTTTTATTTGGGCTTTATAGTTCTAGTAAGAAGTAGAATAAACACACACACATATAATTGGGTCATTTACTAAGACATATCCTATAGTTTCATGTATTTACTAAAACACCCCTGTAGTTTGTGTATTACTAAAACACCCCCTGTACTTTCCCACAGCTTTACTTAATCCACCCTCTGTCAATAACCACCTATCCATATTTCCATCTAACAATAGTCATGTGACCTCTTAAAATGCATTTCAACTCCAAAAATGCCCTTAACAAGTGTTAGTAACCACTTTTTAATGGTTCACAACAATTGATTTCCATATCTGCCCAAAATAAAAAAAAAGATAATACAAACTTAGGCTGTGTTTGGAAGCAATGCAAATAGAGTGTATATCCCAGTTTAGGGTAAATTTATACTCTAGTTCATTTTTGCCTATGTTTGACAACATTACATTTTTGCATTGACAAATGACAGATCAATACATATTTATATTGATAATAAGATGTAAAAGTGCATCAATAAAAAAGAAGTAAATTTGCATTCAAGAGGGCTTTTGTTAGTAAAAGGCATATGCTTTATTGGAATTTGTATTTGCATCCATTACAACTAAAAGTCTGTTCAGTTTTCATTCAATAATAGATAAATATATATAAGCTGTCTTCATTTTTTGGGGTCTGACTTGAAAAGGGTTGAGATTGTCATTCTAGCTTGAGGAAAATGAAAGCCTTTCTTCCTCTTTGAAAGTGTAAATCAAAATTTGGTTTTTGGTTTTTCGAAGACATTTATAGCTACTAGCTAGCATTATGAATCTATGATGAGGTCCGCCATTGTCAAGTCGTTGGGTGAGTGTTTCTGTTTATGTTTCACTTCAGGTTGGCTTCAAAAGTTGGATGAAATTTGGGTCTTGTTTCAAGGGACGAATCTTGTGTTTCCTTATAAGATTTTCATCCTTCACACACCTGAAAGTTTGTCAAACTTGGACAAATTCTATATTCTTCTCTTTGGTTTCATTATGAATTTGTTTAAAGATAAATTCATTTTGAATATGTATAGATGCATTGGATACAAAACTTTCAAGTGTCCTTCCAATGAGGCCATGAATGATGACCTTTTTGTCGCTTGAATTAGTCCACAGAAATTTTCTCTGAGCTTTGTCAATGTCTTCTATGATGTTGTGAGGGAGCTTGAATGACCTCTTTAAGAAATGAGGCATCATGTTGATACGATAGTTGAATTTAACAAAGCAAGAGGCTAGAAAAATGTATGCCAATGAATACAACAATACGAAACTGTACATGGTGATAATAGATACAAAACTTGTAAAAACATTGTTGCAGTGTTGCACAAAACCCCAAAAAAATATAACTGGGATAGCAAATGAAATGTCTTCCAGTGAACCAAAGTGATCTCTCACTACAAACAATATGGGTCCATGCATGAGACAGAAAGCGACAGAATTGTAAATCACTAAATCCAGCACTCAAGCGCTATGTTTATTTACTCCATGCGAGTTCACATGTCATCATCAGTTCTATGGCTAACCATACAAAAGAGGACATCTCAGGCCAGAGTTCTTCTAGTCAATCTGTCCTGGCGTGAGCATGTCTTTACTGCACTGTGTCGACTCCCATGGCTTATACTCATCCTATACATCCAAGCCACCTGTGCACCTGGGATCATTGGATGGGTCTATGTGATGAAGTTGCAGTACTCATGATCACAGCACAGAGGGAGAGGCCAATAGCTTGCCTCAGTTGAAGCCTGACCCACAAATCTTAGTGGGTGCTTGGTTGGTGGATTCAATTTATAAAAACCATTTCCTCATCAGTTATTTTCAGGGGTCTGGAGAGGTTAATCATTGATTTCTCACCCCCAAAAAAAAGTCTTTTGGTAGGTAGGGCTACTTCCATCTTTCAAAAATATTGGATTTACTGATCCGACAAAAAAAACAAAAAAAAAAAAAAAGAATTCCTCCAGTCAACTATACAGAAGTTCATTGGTTTATAATTTTTTGAGATTTAATAAAATTAAGATGTTTGAATTGAGGTTGAATGAAGAATCAATCACAGTATAAAGTAATATAAACTATAGTGCTAGGCAATTCAACTAGTGAGTTTAAAACTCAAATCAGACAACAGAACAGCTCAATCATGAAGGGGCAACTCTTTCATAAGCTGCACTTTCCGTGTGGCCCAACTCTCTTGGTCAAGTGCAGAAGTGCTTTAGAGAGAGAGAGAGAGAGAGAGAGACCCTAGACTGTTCAACTTCAACCCATTCCAGTTCTTAATCCAAACTTGAAAACCCTAATGTATTATATTATTCCTTATTTCCTTGAATCAAAATCCACGATAACAATGGAATAACATCACGCGAATTAACCCATTAATCAAATGAATCAAAGAAACGTGTTTGGATCCTCAGAACTATGGGATTGAAGGCTCTGGAACAAATCAATGTCAACACATGTAATATCACACCCGTTCACATCCACCCAAGAAACCCATCAATCATTACTTGCGACTATTGTTCTTGGTTGAAGCAATCAAACACTAAAAAGTTAATTTGTTTTTTGTTCAAGCAATCAAATTCAAACCTTTGTTCTTGTTTCACCAACCCATCGCCGGAGTGTACAAGGAGAAGGAAATGAAGGATCGAGCGACAGTTACTTTTACCGTTATTTACCGTTACTATTCCCGCTGTGAAGTCTGTGAAGGACTCCTCCAGAACCCGGTATTGTGGAACCTCTCCAACATTTCCTTCTCCAACTGCCCAACCTCTCTATCGTCAATCAGTTCAGAGTTCTCCGAATTATCGGCTACCAACGTTTCGAATGAAACGCGATGTATCTGCATCTCGGTTTCGTCGCGGCCGCAGGAGCACCGCCGCCGTTGCTTCAGCTTCTTGTGCTTCCTCAACGCTCTCCGGCATAGCCCAGTTGGTACCTTGTAGACGGCGAGGACAAGCAGGTTCACGAGACCGCATGGGCAGCAGCAGCATATTACAGCACAATCGGCAGCCGTCCTGCCGGCTATCTCTGCGCACCGGCCGTTCGGCATTGACGGAATGGAACAATGATTCGCTGAAAGAAGATAACGACTGTTCACCGGAGCCAGTGAAAGAGAGCGAAGATTGAACGAGAGACGCCACTTTTCAGTAGCGGAGGAAACAGAGATCTTCGGTTGCAGATGTTTCGAAATTCAAAAGAATATTAAAATAATAAAAGATTCAATCTTTACTTTCAAATACTTGTTTGTTTTCTTTCTTGTTTGCACGCTAATTTCTTCGAATTCAGGCGGCAGAATAGTTCCCAAAAACCATCCAGATGTGCGAATGATTCTCCAATAATCCAATTCCCTTTAAAAAATTGCAACAGCAGAGAATCGCAAAAGAACTCTCCTTGATCCTGTAAAAATTTTCCCCAAGGGGTCTCCAAGAAACAAGACTTTCATAAATTTGAGAAGCCGATTTGAATCAAAGGCAAACACAATCAGACGACACGAATCTTATCGGATAAAGATCAGAAAATCGAAATATTAGGAATCAAGAAGAATCCTTCAGCGATAAGAAACCGCTTCCGTTACCGCAAGAGGGCAATCAAAACAAATTTTTCTTAGCCAGGTTTATAACTTTAACCGTCACACTCCGGTGCGTTTATAACTTTCCAGTAGATTTTCGCCGGAAGTCTTGGACGATCGATCGGCCGAAGTTTTGATGGTTCGTCTGGCTACGTTTCTCTGCTCCGTCCTCCGAAGAAGACAAACCAAATGGAATCGAAGACGTATGGTCTCTTCATAAATGACAAAACCCCTCTTCCTCCAATAAAGGCACTCCACAAAGAGAGAGAGAGATTTTCTGAGAGTGAAGATTGGATTTTTGTGTGAAATTATGAACGGAAGAAATTCGGATGGGAGATTTATCGATAAATTGTTGGAAACTTGGAATTAAAAAAAAAAAGAATAAAAGAAAGCCAGACAGCCAGCAGAACATGGAAATTCGTGTGGGAACCGTGAAAGGTTCTAGAAATACGGAGAGGATATACACAATGTAAGAAATATAGGAACTTTGCTTTTTATAATCGTTAAATTGGAATCCTTTATTATTAAAAAGACATAAGGTTATAATCAAACGGCTGCAATCATAAAATCCTATTTTAGATGGTAGGCCTGCTATAAAGAAGGGTCTGAAATTTCTTATTTCACGGAATTAAAAATGAGATAAAGGGGGGAGCGACAGATGAGCTGGCAGTGGACATTTGGGTCAGAATTCAGAAATTAAGAACTGATGTGACGTACTTCACCCCTGATGAGTAGGTGGATGGATCATGATGCCAAGTCTTTTCGCTGCGGTTCCACGTGGAGATTTTCTATTGGTTTCCTATTTTCTCTCATTTCCCGTTCTCTGTTGCTTTGACTGAACTGTTGAGATAAAGTGGTACGGGAGCTGGATCGCACCCATTCCAACATCATCTGTTACGCGGCTTACGTCATGGTGGGCCCGGAGATTGTTTTGGATGGAAGGCTGGATTGTACACGGAGTATGGTGGGTCCCTACATTACACCTAGCCCTGACCATCTGATTGATTTTTCAATCGTTTTCTTTAGCCCTAACCATTTGATTGACGAAACAAGTTCCAACACCCTACCAACAACATTTGATATCGCATATTTTTCGCTACAAAACAGGGGCCCACCATAAAAGTGGGATCCGCCATGAATGAGATGTATGGTGTCAGATATATTGGTAGAATGTTGAAACGTATTTTGTTGGTACGTGATCCTCTTTTTAAGTTGGCTTGGAGATCTAATAAAAAGTATGGTTTTCAAAAACGGACCGGATCGGATGGTCGGATTGGAAAAACCGGGAACCGGTTTCGTTTTCCTCCAAAACCATTGATTTTGGTAGGCAAATCGCTGAACCAGCCGGTTAATTATTCGGATGATTTTGACTATTTTTTAATTTTTAATTTTTTTGTTAGAACGGTCCGACCGTTCGAACCGGTAACCGAACCCCTGTTCGGTTCATTTTTTAAAAACCATGATAAAAACTCAAAAGCTTTTAAGAAGCAAATACTTGGGTTTTAATGGTTTAATTTTAATCCCATTTTAGACCTGAGCTGGCGGTTTGGCCATGGTCAACTTAGGCACTACTGGCCTAGCTAGCTCATGATCGCCGGCTTAAAAACACAAAAAGCATCACCTTAGGGGCTTGGTCCAACCATCTACATGCAATGATTAAAGTGTCAGTATCGAGTATCATATCAAACAACTTGGATATACATATACACTTTGGAAACTTATGGATATAGACGAAAAATATGAAAAACTTGGATACATTGGAAAACACATGCAAATTTCATAAATGCATTAATAACACTAAATTTATGATCAAATAACCATGAATAATGTATAAATATATAAGAACTATATATTTAATTGTGCACATAAAAATATATTATAATTAATAGCAGAATGCACATATATCATACAATGCATTAATTAAGAGTGCAAGATGCACTTATTATATTTATCCTAATTATTATAACAATTATTTTCTATTTTTTATTTTTATATTTTAACATTAACAAAAAAGTTAACCAAATTTTAAATTCTCAAATATAAATTAAATTATCATATACAAATATGTAATTTTAAATTAAAATATATAAAATTGGTTAAAATTTCTAAGATATATATCACATGCAAATTCATAATTTTAAGTTATTAAAATAATTATTTCATTATTAAAATTTTTATTTGTATAATTTTTTAAATTAAAAATCAATTTTTAATATAAATACAAATTAGTGGATTTGATAAATTCAATTTAATATTATATTCTTGAATATTTTGCAAACAGATTTTTATTTTTTGTAAATAATAAATATGTTGTCATTTAAATATGTAAACATAGAATTGATAGATCATTTATTCTATTTATTTATAAAATACTAATTTTAAATATTTATTTTAATTTTTAATTGGGGTTGTTAAACATAAATATTGTTTATTTATTTGGATAGACATTAATAAAAATTGTGTTATTTTGTTAAATATTACAATGCATGGCATGGCCAAGTGGTTTGATGGAGAATTTAAGACTTTCGGAGTCATGTACGTATCGGCCAATACGCACTCATATCAGTCCGTTACACATAATTTACATGATACGTTTCCATTCATAACATATCCTATATCACCCTAATCTGATACCGATACAATAAGCCCAAACGTATCATATCAATATTTAAATCTTTGTCGATGGTTCTAACTTCTAATGAAACATCAGCTTTAGAAAGGAGAAAGGATGGTGGTTCTTATCAAAACCGCTAGGTTACATATCCAAATGCAGTGGACAAAATCACCGGGCACCCGATTTAAAGATTTTAACAAAATCCCAACCCGAATTCACCCAAATTGCACCCCTAGTTGAAACTCATAAAAATTCTAATCTTAATGTATGGGAGATATAATATATTAATTCTAAAGGCCAACTTCATGCCCCTAATGGCCCTCCAGCCAGTCAAAACTCCTCTTCGAGAATTAAAGATCTGATTGATCAGATTCACCAGAATTCAGGAAGATGGAGTAATCAAGTTTTGAACTTAAACTCAACGTTTTTAAAACTGGACTGGACAGGGGACCGTTCTGGGTCTAGTTCCCGGGTTGAATGGTCCGACTGTCTGGTCTGAATAGATGGCCCGTTCTAATAAAAGAATAAAAATATTAAAGAAAAACTTAAAAAACATTCCCGGGTTGAATAGTTCAATGATTCAATTGACCGGATCAATGATTCGCTGACCAAATTAACGGTTTTTGGCCAAACAATAGTTTTAATGTAAAACTGAACCGGTCACTGATTCCTGAATTTTCCGGTCCGGTCCAATTTTGAAAACATTGCTTAAACTTATCTCACGGGGATATTATGGATATTCTTAACATTCACATATTTGATCATTTTCATGAAGAGAGATTTGTTTGCAATGGGCACCCAAATGGTTGGTTTTCAGTTTGTCAATTTTATCTAAAAGCGTGGAAGGAGGCCAATACTTCAATGGATTCTGATATTTTAATCTGGATTAGGAAGGTTTGGAAGCTAAAACCTTTTCTCCTAGATTTGAACTTTTTCTTTCTTCGGAGACTCATAAGGGGCTTTATTTTAACCAACATCCGCTTGAGTTTAGTTGATACAAAAATGCATTTTCTTTTTTTTTTGTGACTGTTCGGAAGTCCTTGGATTTTTTTTGTCCCTCACTCCATCTTGAAAAGGTGTAATGTGGGGCGTGCTGACCCAACACAGCCCACTTTTGCGGGTCATCCACACTATAATAGGCCATGTCATGCCGGCACATAGGCCTTGGTGGGCCATGCTTTTTCGACATGAATCCCCTAAGAGGGGAGCCCAGCATGGACCAAGGCTGGTCAGGTTGCGGTTTGCACAATTTTTTTAAGAAAAAAAATGAACAGTTAAAATAAATTAACAAGATAGAGAAGAAATTGAAAAAAAATCTTAAAATTTTATTTCATATAAATTTTGATGTATACAATTGAATTGTTTATAATATAATGACATAAAATTAAAAATAATTATAATAAAATTAGAATAAAATAGTACAATAAAATAATGTGTATGTATCGTGTTGGAGACTTGCAAGCCTCAAAATCCCCAACTTGACATGACATGAGGGTTCAGGCGAAGCCTGGTACAACCTACTTTACAGCTCTTGAAAATTATCAATAAGTGGGCTAATAATGGTTTGTAGAGTTGTTGTTTAGACTTAATTTAGAAGAAGTACAAATGCAAAATTGCAAATATGTAGAGTGTAAAATCTTATATTTTGTATTATTTTTTATATATTTGCATTGTATATATTTATATTTGTACTATTTCAAAACTGAACCTTATTATTTTATGAATTTATAGCATATAAGGGCAACTTTTTGCCTAGTAATATTTTTATAAAATAAGATAACTTTTTTGAAAAAATATGCAGTGATACTGTTCATCGTCTTCCTCTGCCCTTTCTATTCATGCCGGCCATTTCAACGGGTCAATGGACAGTAACACTGTTCACTGTGAGGTGATAATGAAAAGTAAAGAGTGAAGACTAAAGAGTACTCAGGTTGGCAGCGGCCAGCGGGTGAGTGCAAAGAAGTGAAGATGGTTCACGTCGTCATGGTCTCCTTCCCGGGCCAAGGGCATGTCAATCCCCTGCTAAGGTTAGTCAAACTGCTGGCTTCAGGTCTCTTGGTCACCTTTTCTACCACTGAATGTCTGAATCCATAGGCCACATAATGAAAAAAGCCACCAACATCCCCGGCACAAGTAGCGCAACACCCATAGGTCAAGGGCAGCTCAGATTCGAATTCTTCTCTGACGGATGGCCTGCTGACGACGACTCCAAACGCCAAGACATAGACGGCCTGCTGCATCAACTTGAGACCGTCGGAAAAGACTCCTCACTTGTCTTGCCAAGGAACAAGCTGAAGAGGGTCGACCCGTTTCTTGTCTCATAAATAATGCTTTTGTACCGTGGGCGTTGGACGTGGCCACCGATTTCGGCATCCCTTGTGCCGTTTTATGGGTTCAATCCTGTGCTGTCTTCTCTACTTATTACCATTATTTCCATCGTTTGGCTCGCTTCCCATCCGTAGATGAACCCCATCTTCCTGTCCATCTACCTGGGTTGCCAATATAATATGGTCTGCCAGTTTCTGAATCAGCTAACACCCGAGATTGAACCAGACTACTGCTGCTGGAGATGAGGGGTCTAAGCGACCTTGCAATCGGACTCATCGTGGTATGCGCCCTCGCCTTCGTTGCTGTGATAGTTCAGATCCTTTTGCCAACCCTTCCAAGGAGCTGCTCTATTTCTTCTGTTGGAAGAACCAGACTCGCATAGAGCCTACCGTATTTCC